ATTACTCGCTGCTAAGCTTCACAAATCACCGTGTTGGTCTCACTTTGCCAGGTATACTATTAAATAAAGCCAAATATATTGTATTATTGTAATTGACTCACGTGTTTCACTAAGCTATTTTTTTATTTTGTAGGTTACAAAAACGAAATCGTGACAAGAAAAGGAGCAATTGAATGCTATATATATATATTTGTACAAAATGTCCTTAAGATTCTCCATGTGGGTTTGTTATAATGATCTGCCACCCACACACAAAAAACACGCACGCACGCACGCACGCACGCACGCCACGCACCAGCACGCACAGCACACACACACACACGCAACGCACACACAACCACACACTTGGTTTGCTTGTCATTTGTTTGATATCGTGCCACTTTTGCACAAACACTATAAACAGTCCTTTTGTCACAGCAACATTTATGAATTTTCAATAACAGGAAAAGCACAGGTCGGAGCCAAATTATATTAAGGATGGGTTCAGTCCATTAAATGAAAGTCTGCTGAAACGTATTATATATGTAACAACAAGATCTCATCCTTCATCTACGTTTGTAATAGAGCAGTTTCAATTCATCAGCTATTAAAACCACACCTCTTACTTAATTCAGTACCACTTCAGGAGCACTACAGCCTTAAATGCTAATGTTAGCCTAACATTAGCTAATGTTAGCAAAACTTTTAAATAGATGTTGGCACATTACAGACGGAGACTCTTCTCCACTTGTACACTCTTACAGCAGGTATTTAGCATTTAGCCTTTACATAATAATATCACTTGCGGCCTCCAGTAGGTTGGTGTATTCCACTAAGCTGTGCATGTGCAAGAGCGTCCATGAATAAACAAAAATGGCTTTACAGGCAGATGAATGCAAAAACTGGAAGGAAAAAGCAAAAACTCAAATGAAAAATCCCAAATGAAAGAAGACACTCAGGAACAAGAACACGAGGAAACCAATCGAAGGGAACTGAGCAGACGAACTGTCAAGAGAAAGAGGGCAACACAGACTTATACACAGGGGGAGCAGGTTAACGAAGACACAGGGTGCAACCTAATTTGGGTGGAGCATGAAGATCTGTGTTTGTTATGCCTCACATTTATTTAGTGCTGTCCATTGTCACTGCGATAATCTTCTGAAGTCTGGCCTTCACATCAGATCCCTAACTGAACTGGCCTATGTGTCATATGTATATTTTGCTAAAAAAAATGTGCTGTGGAACGTTTTGTCTGGCTTACAGGGTTTTTTTTTTTTTCTCAATATTTAACAGACCCATCTTCCAGAAAGGGACAAAAGCCCTGATCCTGGCAGAGACTCAGTGAGTCCAGTCCCTGATATGGACGGGAAGAGGCTGCGACTATTCACTGCACTCCCCTGTCCTCAGTCCCTCTCAACAAGCCCATTGTGCCTGTACGGGTTTGAGCGAACAAAACCTTAAAATGTCAGATGAAGACCTTTATCAACTGAACCGCAGAGAGTTTAAGCTGTTTTGTTCATACAACACATAGGTCTTTAGACATTGGAGTAAAAGGTTTCTTACAGTCAAACAATTCCTATGCATTCTTGCAATATTATGTTGTTGTTTCATGCTGATTTGAGAATTATTTTTATAATATATTAGAAAACAATGTCTCATGTCTTGTAGGAGATATTTTTTGTGTATCCAACAGGAAAACCACAGGTGTAACCAATTTAATTAAATTAATGATGGTTCTGTTCCAATTAAGGTGCAAGCATAGAAATACTCGAGCCCTGGAAACTGACACATTTAATGGAACGCGCCACATTAAAGTCATTTAGTTTAGACCTGTTGGTTTGAACAAGACAAAATGTCTTTGCCCAAACATATCAACTTGTGACATTTCACCTGCTCTCACTCCTGCTGAAGATAAGAAACTATTGGTCTGGACAGTGACTTGTTGTTAAATGAACAAAGATGTCCACATCTAAATGTTCAGAAACATGAAAAGTCCAAGGACTGTATAAGACAATGTTCAACCAGATACACAGAACCTGGTAAGATTTAAAAATCATACATTTCCACTCCTTGTACGTTTGATCAATGTTTCCCTGTCACGTTTCTCTTGCTTGTGGACCAAGGCTTGTGTATGTTCTGATCATATGTGTTTGTCTATGTTATGTCACGCTGTGCTCTGTCTCTCATCTACTTGTGCTCAGAGCCTATTGAGGAAAAACCCTTACCGCCCCACCTACATTTTCGCCTAGAACTTTGACATTCACATGAAATCAAAAGTATCCGATGGGCAGTAACTACTGTTTAGCTCTACTAATTGCAGCCATCCTGGCCCTTCAAATACCTTTAGCTGTGTTCAATCTTCATACTGATCTACGTGTAAAGTACCAAACCACAATAACCTTGAAGATGTCCAAGTATTTTGAAAGGATTTAAAGGTCCCATATTTTATTACTTTCTCCTGGTTTTATTTTGAAGTGTTGATCCATAAGAAGATATATTTCTGTGGTTTTATAGACAAAAAACCAATCTCAGTGTAAGTTTACATCTCCTCTCTCAGGCTTCTCTCTGGAGCTCTTAGTAACAACAGGTCGGGTGAGCCAATCAGAAGAAGAGGAGGCTCTTGCCTCTGCATGACTGCTTTGGGTACATCATTACAGAAGTCCTGACGGCTGTTTTAGGCTCAGTTTCTGAATACAGGCTGTGTGCATTTCTCATGTGGACTGAGGCCTTTGATACTTTTCAACAGTTTAAGGTGGTCTGCTGTATAACCAAAAAAAACATGGAGATCTCACTTTATAAAATATTGGACTTTTCCCTTCCACTCCGCGCAGTAGAGCAACCTATTATCCATTTTTTAAGTACATTGCAAGTTTCGTTAGCTGATCCCTGATATTGTTCAGATGTCATGGTCTGTAAGTGGCACAAGAACACCTTGATCCCAACGTGATCCAGAACTTAAACAAAAGTGTAGCCCCCCCTTACCAAACATTGAAAACATACCAATTATATACCACAGTCAACTCTTAAATGGACTGACAGACTTTTTAATGCAATGATTAGCAACACTAAACAGCCAGTAACATCCCAGTATGCAGAATGGAAAAACTCAACTCTTGAGTATGTTTATTGATGAGGAATATACTGAACCTTCTTATTATGTTGCCAAAGATTGACCACATTTTCTTTGATGTAGTGTGTTGACAAGGAGTATGCCACTGAGCCTTGTAGTGTCATTCTACTAAACTATACTAATTTACTATACTAGTCACAACTTGGCTTGTAACTTAACTAACAATTGGCCTTTCTTTTCTGTCAACCTTTCATTAATATTAGAAATGGTCTGTCTTATTTGTTAGATGCTAATTTCATGAGCATGATCAGGCTGTAGCCTTTAGTGTTACCTTAGATGTAGTGTAGGGTTGTCACCACCAGGTGCTGCTGCAGTCCTGCAATTGAGGTTGTGGACTGTCCTGATGCTGTGCTGAGTGCAGGCTTGTGCACAACCTTCAGAGTGATTGTTGTTCATTATAAGCTTTCACCAATTAGTGTTTGGGTTTAAGTTCTGATGGCTTGGTTATGCGTTTCCGGGGGATTGGTTTACGGTTTTGGGTTTTTGGATCTGCTATTTTCAGAGGAAGGAAGTTCGCAGAATGAGGGAAAGAGACTCACCAGACCTCTTCTTTCCCAGTACTCAAGCTCGACACGACTTCCATGCGTAGTGTGACTTGATTTGACTGTAAAATACTGATCTTCACAGAATAAAATGCAACTCATACAGAGATCACTCTGACCCGGTTGTGGCTGTGGCTTCTTGGCTTTAACAGTGCAATTACTTATTCAGAGCCTTGATGCTACCGTCGATGCTCAGATCCCTGTTTTAAGCCCAGTAATGCTTCCTGGTTAAAACGCCTTTGATTTGACACACTTTGATTCTAATTTTGATCCTGGCCTATGGAAGGTGTGAGGCGGGAGGACAAACACAGGAAAACGTGTTTTTAAAGCTCCTTTGAATAATGTAGCATTCGTGCCATGTTCATTATACTTTTCAAGTAGCAGAGGTAGACATAGTTACAAATGAAATATATAAATAACTTTTGATTTGATGTCCGCCTTCTTTCAGATGATGGTCCCACCTCCCCTTTGGTTACTTTGGGAAAGACGGTGAGTTTCTGGAGTTGAGATCATTATAAGCATAAGAAACAAAATTAAAAATGTGGGGCCATCCATCATTAGTATTTCCAAAGACGACGTTCAGCGCTCTCTCGTTTCTCCACATTCAACTGTCAATATTTACTGTATGTGCACATTTTCAGTGAGAGCTGTCCCACGCTCAAAAAGGTGACGCCGAGTCATTCAGAGGCCGCTTCGATGCCGTGCCAGCACGCTCCTCTTTCCCTCAAACCCTCCTGCCAAAAGGTCAGTGACCTCCATCTGCTCCAACCCTCTTTATATGACATTCACTGTGATGTTTAATACAAAGGCACAGATCTATGAAGAGGAAGGTGATTTACAACCCAGAATACTTTAAAGAAACAGGTTATGAAGATTATATAACCATGTGAACCGCAGAACAATCCTTATTTTGTCTGCTTTCTTTAACAGGCA